TGTCACAGAAGTAGTTAGTGTTCCATGAGTAACATCAAACAAAAACACAAGCCATGCATGTAGCTAGCTACAGGAAGCAAAAAGAAAAGGAGTACTTGTGGCACCTTAGAGACTAACCAATTTATTTGAGCATACGCTTTCCTGAGCTACAGCAAATCTTATTAGTCTCTAAGGTGCCACAAGTACTCCTTTTCTTTTTGCCAATACAGACTAACACGGCTGTTACTCTGAAAGGAAGCAAGTAGAAATCCTAAAAAAAAAAATCCAGATTAATCTTCGTTTACTGATTGCACCATATAAAAACAAAACAGCCTTTTACATTTGCAATCACAATATGAAAGAGAAACTAACAGGCTATAGGAAAACCAAAACCCAGTTCATAAATAAATATAATTTTTTCAATGCCTTTAATAAGGCAGCAGGAAGAATAATCCATTTGACATTTTGACTTGGTAAGGGGTTTTTGGTATTTTTCGAGATGGCCTAAACTTGGCAGAATTGGAGTTCCCAACTGTTTTTGTTCCTTAAATGAAAAGCCCAACAAAACAACATCCTATATATTAGGATAGAAGTCATGTTCTGTTCAATGCTCTACAATGACAACACTTCCTTGGAAAGTGTTATTTTCAAGTAACATGACAAAAGAGAGGTGCTCAGCCTGCATCTTTTTAAAAGAAGATTAGGAACAATATAGTCTGTTTTATTAAACTGAAATCTCTCATATTAATAAACACTGACATTAAAAAGACAGTAAAACCCATATGAATATTTTCTAGGGACTTAATGATCTTAAGAGATAAAATAATGTAGGATTTCTAGTAATAAATTAGATTTTATGCAGTTCTATCCCTAAAACCACATTCAAGGACAAAATTAAATACCCTTAAAGGAAATACAATTTTACACAAACAGTTGGAAATGTGGAAAACTGTGTCAAAAGCAATAATTAAATATTTATTTAACCCATTTATAGCACATCCAGCACAAAAATCTAAACATCAGACAATAAACCCGTGAATTAAAAATCAAAGTATGAAATATTTGGAGATAAAAATCAGAGAGAAAGAATGAACCAGGAAAAATACATAACCTGACTACGCAAATAATCTTGTAAATGGCAAACATCTCTCAAAAAGAAAAGGAGCACTTGTGGCACCTTAGAGACTAACAAATTTATTTGAGCATAAGCTTTTGTGAGCTACAGCTCACTTCATTGGATGCATTCAGTGGAATTTTGCGGATACAGACTAACACGGCTGCTTCTCTGAAACATCTCTCAGAAATAGAAGGAATCAGGAGAGTGGTAGCTGAGCCAAAACGAAGAAAGGATTTGGCAGGAGAAAGTGGGTATAGGTGCAAAGGACTCGAGAATTGTTGAATGAAAGTTTGAGTTACATTTGCAAATTGCAAAGATCTATATTGTGTCATATTGTATCAGGACTCGAACTAAATTTGCAGAAGAGCTGGAGAGAATATGAACAATTATTACGTTCTTTGCTCAGGGAGCTGGCAGAGAAGCTTGGGAAATACATATTTATTTTAATTTGAACAAGGAAGGCTCTATGTTTCCATCTCTCTATAAGAAAACCCAATAAAGTTCATACAAAGCAGATAGATTAACAGTGGGATTTATTCCTAAAAGAATAGCAGGAGCAGTTTTCGACCCTGCCAATCTGAGAGGTGTTTTAGAAATGTTTGGTCTTTTTTTTGTGTTTACTGTGAAATCATGGTCATGTTTTCAATTCCAAACTAATGACTCTCAAAGATGAAATACTAATACCTTCACAAGAAGATTTCACCTATTTGCAGGAATTTTGAAGGGCAAAACTAGATTTAAATAAGTAAACGGAATCAGATCAAGAAAAAGGAAACAAAATTGTGATTAATCTTTCTTCTTCCTGCCCCATAGGGGAAGACCTTAGAGTTTCCTTTTTATACTGTCCCACAAGATTTCTTAGATCTTTTTTTATCTGCTCTAATGGCACATAATTTAGTAATCTATAAACAAAATAAAGCCTCTATTTTGGTTATTAATCCTGTAATGACATCAGAAAATTAGATATCAGTCTTCTGAAATGTAATATTTATCTGTTCAAAATCATCTTTTTCATCCTTATTTCTAAACTGATTTTTTTTTCCCGTATGCTACCCCAAGTTTTCTAAGGGACCATGCACCCTCAGATCCCATTAACTGGTAAACAGTTTGTAGCTTCTTTTACAGAAAATCTACTATATATGAAGGTCAGCAGAACAAGTTTCAGGTTATCCATTGGCAGAGAGCTACATTTTGACAAACTTCCAAAACCTGAGGTTTCAGTTATCCTGTTAAATAAAAGTGAAGTTGTGCACTTGACTCCAATGGGAGTTGAGGGTTTCCACTGTAGATACTTTGAAGCCTGCTAAGAAAATGGTTAAAACAATCCTGTTCGGGGTTTTCTTTGTATAGAAACACCTTTTTTATGAATAATTTTAAAAAAATGATTCAAACCCAAAAACCTTTATCAGAATTTAGTTTATTCAAATATTTTTATTACCTTATGAAAATAAATTATGTGACAAAAAATTAAATAGCATGATTACTTAGGAGCCAGTCGCAGGATCAGAGCCATAATTAACAGTCTTACCCCTCTGTAATTTCCAATGGCCAATGCTTTAATAGAAAACGTCTCTCTGATCTTGCTATTTGAGACTGCTAAAGCCTCTAGAAAGGCAGGTTCACCAAGAAAAGTATTCCTGTCCTTGCGCTATAGAAAATCAGCACCCTTAGAACTGGATTTCAAAAAAGCAATCCCCTGACTAAATTTATTTTCTTGTGAGCTATAAAACATTAGTTCTGAGACTTTATTGAACCAGACCTTTTCAAAGTGAACTTTGACTTTTTTTGTTGTCTTTGATACAGCAGTATCTTGAAAACATTTCCTCATTTCAAAGAGACTTTGGCTTATGACACACACCAGTTTGCTTGTGATTTCATACTATTTTACTTGCTGCTTTAATCCTCTTCATTTTTAGCTATTTAATAAATATCCATAATATTTGATAAACAGCTGCATATACAGAAGTGTTACTGTTATAACTCTTCAACCTTTCAGGTCCGGAAGATTAACAGGAAGAAAAGCAACTCTTTAAATGACCTTACCCTTAAATGAGCTACAAGCCAATAGGGAGACACACAAGTACAGATAAACCAGAGGCATAAATGAGGTTGAAAAGTCAAGTGTACTCCAGACGTGTGGACAAATGGCATGCAATGTATTATGTACTTAGATTCATAGATACTAAGGTCAGAAGGGACCATTATGATCATCTAGTCCGACCTCCTGCACAACGCAGGCCACAGAATCTCACCCACCCACTCCTGCGAAAAACCTCTCACCTATGTCTGAGCTATTGAAGTCCTCAGATCATGGTTTAAAGACTTCAAGGAGCAGAGAATCCTCCAGCAAGTGACCCGTGCCCCATGCTACAGAGCTACATGCTCTGCCCTGGAGGAAAATTCCTTCCCGACCCCAAATATGGCAATCAGCTAAACCCTGAGCATATGGGCAAGATTCATCAGCCAGATTTAATAATTTTATTAAGATAATGTTGAAATAAGAAACAGTACAGAGTTCAAGCATAGAAGTTTCTGGTTGTCAGGGGATAAGGTACAGATTATCAAGGGATGCGAAATTCGATTTAGGAGCTGGTAGAGTAAGGATTACGTAAAAATCTGCAATCTCCCCGACTGGGGGTAAAAGTTTAACCGGTCAAAGTACAGACATTGATATATGGGGGTAAGCTATCCACATACTGGCTATGTTCAGGTGCGGAATATAGTGAGTGGCTACGATGGCGGGGATGGGTCTACCCTCATTTGGTGGGTATTTAATGTTCAGTGGGTTTATGGTTCCAGTTCATACGGTCCAATGGGGGAAAGCCTCTCAGTCCCTTTCCCCGTGGGTGCACAATGTCGTTTCTTTCCTGGGTAACTCAGATCCCAGCCCACCTAATATCCCATCACAGGCCATTGGGTCTATTTACCACGAATATTTAATTACCAAAACCATGTTATCCCATCATACCATCTCCTCCATAAACTTATCGAGTTTAATCTTAAATCTTTTGCCCCCACTGCTTCCCTTGGAAAGCTGTTCCAAAACTTCACTCCTCTGATGGTTAGAAACCTTTGTCTACTTTCTAGCCTAAATTTCCTTGTGGCCAGTTTATATCCATTTGTTCTTGTGTCCACATTGGTCATGAGCATAAATAATTCCTCTCCCTCTCCGGTGTGTGTATATATATATATATATATACACACACACATACACACACACTGGTTAATGCAGTAAAGCGATAGGCGAGACATGTGCCAAGTCCAACACAGCCCTGCAATTTCGGATGCAGATAAATCCCGAGGGCTCTATACCCCTATGCCACAGTTGGAAATGAGAAGTGAGGGAACCTTAGGATGGCTCCAGTTTATCCAGGTAACAGAACTCTCTGGGGGACTCAAGCTGGATCTTAGGGGCTGTCCATAAATCAGGTAATGCCCGAAGATTTGTGGGTCCTTTAATTTTACAAGTTTGTTTCCATATTACAAAGTATTAGAAGGTGTGTGTGTGTGTGTGGGGGTCTTGAAAAATCACCAAAAAAAAAAAAAGTGTGATGTAGTTGACGCTGCACCAGCAGTAGGGAAAATGAGAGTCCCTGCCCCCCCCCGCCCGGGGAACCCCACTGAGAAGGGGGGGCCAGGATCAGAGTCTCTGCCCCGCCCTCCCGGGCGTGCCCTGCTCAGGAGGGGCTGGGGGGGAGGGAGTAAAGCTCCCCGCCGCCCAGGACACCCCCGGAGGGGCGGGAACACTCCTGCCCGCCACGGCACTGTCCCGAGGGGGGGAAGTAGTGTCCCGCCCCCTGTAGAGGGAGCCCAGAGACGACCCCCCCCCCCGTCTCCGAGCTGACCCGTCCCCTGCCGTCGGAGCTAGCAGGCGGCAGCAGCCCCTTCCCCATGTCAAACTTACCGCACGGGCTCCGCTAACCCGCCGCCCGCAGCCCCGCACGCCGCCCGGGTCAAGAAGCCTGCGAGAAGATGGCGGCTCGCGGCCTCCTATCTGCCGGGGGCGGGGACTGAGGCCCTGAGCCCGTTGGCGTGGGGCGACATCTAGCGGCGGCAGGGGGAAGCGCAGGTGGAGAGCCTGGCTGGCCCGGGCCGCCCCGGTCACTGGAGCAAGGGGGCGGCTGCTGCTGGCCTCGCAGGGTCAGTGCCTGGCCGAGTGGAGAGCGGGAAGGGAGGGCTCTGCGGGGAGAAGCCCCGACCCCGGCAGGAGCTTGGGGGAGAGGAAGGCCCGACCCCGGCAGAAGCTGCGGGGCTGAAGCGCCGACCCCCCTCTGTGCCGAGCTGGCCTGAGCCCCCCTCTCTCCCGTCCCCCCCTGTGTGGAGCTGGCTCTCATTCTCAGGGCGCTGGAGAAATTCAGCTCAAATCTGTCCGCCTTGGTATGTTCATTTCCCCATCTTGACACAGCCATGAATGGATTTAGCCAAGGAGGCAGAGTTAGTACTGGCCCCATTTGGCAGGTGGGATCTAGGGCACGCGGTGGTGACGTGACTTTCCCAAGGCTAAGCAGGGAGTCTGTGGCAGAGCAGAGAACCAAACCCAGAACACCTGGCCCCCAGGGCTGTGCCTTAACCACTAGGCAACCCTTCCTACCCCAAGGAGAGGGAGCCTCCTCTGCGCTTTGAGTGTATGGGTGGGCCAGGCACTAGACCGAGCCACCAGGAGGGGAGAGTAGAGAGAGAGATGGGAAAAGGGACATGGATGGGAAGTAAGAAGGGGGAAACATCAGGAAGGGGAGCAAGGACTTAGAGAAGAAACAAGAGAGGGGGAAGACTCCCCACTGCTTGTCCCTCGCAGCTGCCACTTTTCCACTGCCATCAGTGGCCCGCAGCTCCCAAAGAGGCCCCAAGCAGGTGTGAAGCAGAGTGAAAGTAATGTCTATAAACTGGGCTGTTAGTGAAGACAGCTTGTAGCTGAGTGTAATGATTTTAATAAACTGTAATTCATGATAATGTAATTATGTAGTTCATTACTATTTTAATGATGACGTTAACATACCAATGACAGACACACATTCAATAAATAGAATATGAAAAGTGCATAAATATACTGAAAATTGCCAGTTGGGGGGGGAGCTGAGCCCCCCCCCCAAAACACACACACACCCACCCACCTTGCCCTTAAGGCAGGAGGGGGCAGAAAGGAGTGAGTGGGAGGGAATCTGGGGGAGGGGACAGAGTGGAGGCAGGAAGGGGTGGGGCTGGGGCCTTGGGGGAGCAGGCAGAGCCGGGATGCGGGACCCACTAGCAAAACCAAAAGTCAGCACCTATGATGGGATGGGGAAGAGAAGGGGATAGGGGAAGCGGGGGCCTAGCATGCGGATTGCCTTGGCAACAGCTGGGACTCCCCTGTTAAGCAGGCCGATCAAACTCTCACCTTGATAAGCCCCACCTCCCCTGCATCTGTACCACCCTGATGAGCCTCCTCCCAAACACCCTCCTCACTGAGCCCCAACCACCTACACCCTCCCCAACCAAGCTCCAATCACTTTCACTTGGTTCCCCCTGCAGACTCCCATTGCCCCTGCATCTGGAACCTCCCTGTGCATCCAGATCCCACACTGAGCTGCCTGCACCCAGACTGCCCCACACAGAACCATCTTACCCTCATCTGAATTCCCCCATGCTAAGTCCCTCTGCACTTGGATCCTGCTGCCAGGCTGAGCCTCCCTGCCCACATCTGGCAAGTTTCTGTGGTAGGCATGGCTCTTGTGCTGTGTCAAGGTCAGGTTCAGCCTCACTGCCAAGTCCCTGTCCTGGGGGTATTCTCCCACCTCAGTGTCCTGTGCTCCCCACTGCCATGGTGGAACTTCCACATTTATTTATTGTACAAAAAAAAAAGTACAGAATTTTAAAATATTATGCACAGAATTCGATGCAGAATTCCCTCAGGAATATGGGGCGCTGTACAGCTGTGATGGTGGGACTATGAAGGGGGTGCTGGACACTAGGGATCTTTGGGTGTGGGAGCTGGGCAGGGGGTATCATATGCATGGTGCTGTGCAGTTGTGGTGGGAGGTCAACGGGAGGGGTCTCTGGCAGGGGGTGCTGGGCATAGTGGGTCCAGGGGCATTGGGCATAGGGATTTGTGGAGGAAGTATGTAGGTGAGGGGGTGCTGGCATAAGGGCAGGGCACTGGGCAGGGGGGCAGTGTAGAAGGGGCATGCTGGCAGTGTAGGGCTGGGCGAGCCAGTGTGCGTCTAGCAGTTGTGGGTTTGTAAACAGTGCTGTTGTGCTGGGCTGCGTGGGGCCACTCCTGCTGCGCTATGCCTCATTGCCCTCAACCAGCCCCTCGCTCTGCGGACTGGCCCCCATCACATGCCCTATTTCCCCAATGGGGGCCCACAAATATGTTTGGTGCCGGGCCCACAAAAAGTTAATCCGGCCCTCTCTGGGAGGGGCAAACTGGCCAGGCCCAGCAATTCCGGGACGCAGGGCAGAACAGCCAATGGGCTGCCGCTGCGCATTGTACAGGGCAAGCTGGAGCCGGGCCCCATGCTGGCCCAGCGTGGCCTCACCACATGGGCACGGAGCTGGACTACGTGCGGCAGCTGGTGCATACGCGCACAAGCCGCACGGACGCAGTCTGCCTGACATTTGGGCGGTGCTGTGCCTGCATTGTCTGGTGCCCAGCGAGCTGCAGGTTGAGCGGCTGAGTGCACTTTTCTGGCACAGCCAGGGCTTCCACATGCCCACCTGGCTGCCTTCACTGCTGCTGGTACCAACCCACATGCACTAGGAGCCCTGTGGCCTGCCCTGGCAATTTAAAAGGGCCTGGGGCTCCCAGCTGCCGCTGTTACCATGGCAGCAGCGGCGGCAGGGGCCCATGGGCAATTGCTCCCTTTACCCCTCCCCCCCATCAGCTAGTGTGTGTTGGGGAGACTGGGAGCTCCTTTCCTGCTCTGACCTTTCCTTTCTGTGTCTTGGGCCTAGCCCCTGTGTCTGAGCATCCCAATGGGATCACAGCAGATTAGGGTTACCACCTGGCCAGTATTTGACCAATCTGGCCGGTGTTTTTTATTTTTAATGGATTTGCTAGTTGCCAAAAAAATAATTTAAACTGCTGTGTTTTTTTACGCGGGGCTAAAAATTTGCATTATCACAATACACTGGGATGTCTTACTTTAAAAGTTTCTGTGTCTAGCTAAAGATGATACAGTGTTCCCACTTCTGCAGTTTAAGCGATAAACTGTGGATAATACAGCAGTTGTCTGCCCACCAACACACAAGCATGCTGTGCATGTGTGTAAGAGAGGGTTTGAGTCACCCAAGAGTGAGGAGACATGCAACGTTATCAATCTTATCTATATGTGTTCTCGCTCTAGATCAGCGTTTCTCATATGCGGCCACTAGGGGCTTTTCTTGCGGCCACAGCCTTCTGGGCTGTGATGGGGGGCAATATAGCAGCCCCTCCGACTCCCTGTTGCTCTCCAGATGCACTGCTTGGTGTTGATTGCTGGGGCCGCCAGCAGTGGTTGGGCCCTGCCCCCCTTTGGACACACCTGGGGTACAATGCCGAAGGAGAAGGCAGCCAGTGGATTCCCCATCTTCCCAGGGGCAGTGGGGCTCAGGCTTTGGGCTTCAGCCCTGGGGTGGTGGGGCAGCAGGCTCTGGCTGATGGCTTCGGGCTCCAGCCCTGGGCTGAAGCTGCTCAGCGGCATGGCCCAGCCTCCAGCTGCGGGGCTTCGGGCTCCAGCCCCTGCTGGTTCCCTGACCCCCAATCCAGGGCTTAATTTGTCCCCAGGCTTGGCAGGGCTGAGTAAGTCTTCTGTGAAAAGTGATACTTGTATGTTTGTTCATACCACTTTTCACAACAGACTTACTAGTTAGCAATAAATAAATTACAATGATTTGGACGTGTATACGTGCATATTTATTTGTTTTCTCTAAAGCTAATTAAGTATTTTAGGAAAAAGTGTGAGAGTGGCCACCAGCAAGAGTTGGTGGCCGCACTGTGAGGTCACCAACATTTTTTTCCTGAGAACACCTGCTTCTAGATACTATAAGTGGCTATTGAAGTGGGGGTTGCAGAGTTGCCTTGTGGTTGGGGGTTTGCATTGTGATGGGTTTGCCTTGTGAGGGGTGCCTTTTTTTTTTTTTGCCTTTCAAAGGTGGTAACCCTACAGCAGATGACCTCAACCCACCTAACTTCTTGCATGCCTGTAGGTTGAACTCTGCTTCCTGCCTTCATTTAGCACCTTTCCCCTCATAGACCCTCCCCACTGTTGGCACAAGAACCTTCTCCTCTGCAGCCCCTGTAATCTGGAGGAGTCTCTCTCCACAGCCCCTGTTTTCAAATTTCACCTGAAAAAATCTCTGGCCTCACTTTTCTCTCCCTCCACTTCTGGTTTTTTATATTATAGTGTTGCATCTTCTTCATTTCATTATGTAAGGCATCTGGGGATACAGGTGGTGCACAAAATGCTCTCCCAAATAAAACTGAATTGTATTGAATGGTATAGTATTAGGGTCTGCTTGATTGTCGAAACCATTACTAATACTACACGTGTCATCTTCATTCCCATGAATACTCCTACATGAGTAAAGGTTTGGGTATAGGGACCTTAGTTACCACTTGTTGATAGACTGATGTCTTGAGTTTCTCAAATGAAAGGTGTTATAATAGTGCAAAATGTTATATGTATTTATTATGAAATTAATATACCTGTCTTAAATTGCCACATAAGGGTTCTGCAAATGTCAGTGGGCTAGTAGAAATTGGTCTTTAATAAACATTCAGATAAAATTATTCTGGAAACACCTCTTAAGTGGTCACTGAAAACATGAATTTGTCTATTGGAGGTGGTTCTCAGTGTAGTTTTGACTGTATTAACACCAAATTTCCTTATCTCTAATACAGGATTATGTTATTATTATTGGCACAGATGGTAGCACCCTCTATTATTAAGGTTGCCTGACATTTCCTTTATGAGATCCTGTTTTCCAGTGGTGCTGTAACAATTTTTATTGTGGGGGTACTGAGAGCCATTGAA